CCCTTAAACAAAGGAAAAGTACGTCCTTTATGAAGGCATAGAGCCTTTACTACATGAAAATGAAAATTAATGAATACACTGTGTACAGTAATTTACCTGATAAGACAGACCTCAGAAAAATACTTTATGAGGCATAAAGCTGTCTATAATGAAAATTAATTAACTAAGGATTTTTTGCCCTGCCAGGGTGTGGCCAAGTTATCCGGACTGCTGGGTTATCGAGTGCCGAGTTTTCGAGAGACTACTGTATTATTATTATTAACCCCATTGTTACCATTACTATTTTTTTTTGTAACTCTTGTTTTAAACTTTATTGTTATTACTATTATATTAATTTTTGTGGTTTTGGTATTATTATTTACTGCAGTTTTCTTTCTTAACACAAATGGATTTTCTTTGCAGTACAGCCAGATCTGCCCACTTAGACCCTACAATAAAGTCTAGTGCTCTCTTGTGTAAAACTAAACCTTGTGGCACAATTCTGTCCTGTCACACTCCCCACACTATGGAGCAGTCGTTGCTTCGTAATTTTAAATTGGCATATAACCAACTCATTATATAATCTACAGTCCTTTCAAATTGTCTTTTAAACAAAACAGTTAGTTCTTTATTAAATGGTCTACAACATGTAAATAATATATTGTTCATTGAGCTGTTACGGAGAAGTTTGATAGTAACGATGCACCAATTAATCAGTAGACAATCGGTATAATTGACCAAACAAATTACTAATTATCATTATTAATCATTACTTTCTGTTAAATTTAAGTCAGTTTTTTAATCTCTGGCAAAGAATTTATCAGATAATTCTATTAATAATCTGAAATTGTTAAATGTAACCTTTCCTGTTTAGCAAATTTCATGTTTACTGTGTATCTTATTTAGGTGTGCAAAAATCTTTTAATAAATTCATATATAATATTTAATAATGGATAATTTATTAACAAATAATTAAATATTTACCTATTTCTGAGAAATACCTTCTCAGAGAGAGAAGTCACAAGGAGGATTCCTCCCTTGTAGGTTCATGCTGTTATGTTGTTTATTACATTAATTGCAAATTCTTTATTTCTGATGATGATCTAAAACAGAAATGGCAAGCCCATGGTTCTAAAGCTGTCTTGGAAAGTCTTAAAAGACCTCAAATTATGAATCTTAGATAGAAAACTGAACAACAGATTTCCCATTAAATGAAATAGAGTGAACTCCCATATAACATGACAAAAATATTGCAACTAGTACTTGTACAAATTCTAATTTTGTTGTCCAGAGGTATACATTTTATTCTTCAACTTCTAGACCTAGGTTTAAACTTGCATGAAATCATCTGATAATGCATTTCTCAACAAGGCAATTTCCTATAATGCAGAATGTATCCGGCATGATATGAGATTCCACTGTAATTGTTCTGTTGTAATCCTATTATTTTGTTTTATTTTATTTTATTTTCACTTGTTATTTTTCTGATGTAGATTAAAAAGTTAAATAAAATAAAATTGGTAAGCATTTTCTGTTATTTTTTTAATTACTCAAATTAAATATTTGACCTATGATCCAGACTTACCAAATTTGAATTTGATCCCCTTTGGAAAAAGATTTGCCATCATTGGTTTACAGAGTAGACTGAAAATGTTAGAATTTAACCATTATACTCCCTTGTTATTGTACTTGGAATTAGTCAGCCAGTACAATAATAACAATAAATTAACATTTTAAAACATTTTACAGCTTTAAAAACACTGCGTTAGTTACGTAAAATTATAAATTTGAGAAAATCCCTAATAATCTACTATTTGATTAAATTTGTTTTTGAAATATTTTCTTTCTGGATATCTCACCATTACCCTTCACACCCTTGTTCTAAAAATTAAAATAAAAGTACAAAAACAATATTAAATAAATCCAAATGAAAATATCTGAGAATTACACTAAGTAAAAACTTATGACAGTTTAGATGACAGTCAAAATTTTTTTTAGGAGTTTTTCTTTGTAAAGATAAGCTTGGTGCTTGGAAGCAGTACCGATAACATTTTTACCTATATTATTATTTTCCACATTTCACTTCCATGTGCCAAGCTTATCTTTACCAAAGAAAAATTTTGACTGTCGTCTAAATTGTCATAAGTTTTCATT